ATGCCTTACGCCGCCCTTGGTCATAGAAATGATGTAATTTGAATATAAATTATTTATAAATACGTATGTCAAGTTATATTTTTATTACTACGTAAAATATATTTAAGAGTTTACGACCACTGTGCTGGATAAGACGTCGTTGAAACAAAAAAAGTTATGCATTCCATCACGTACATAAACAGTGTCGTAATTCGCCAAGTGCAAATCAGCAAATTCGTAAATTTTTGTTTATTTTGAACAATCCGGATAATCGAAAATCCGGATAATGGAGGTCCGGATAATGGAGGTTCTACTGTATTTTTATTATATTGTTTATATTGGCAGGTAAGTGCATAGCTGACAAGTGTTTCTTAACATAATTTATTGATATTTATTAGCATATATTGATGACATGTATTGAATTTCTTGTGAATGGAATTTATATTTTGCTTTATTTTAAGTGGCTGAAATATACGCGCTAAACTGTAGGTTTGAACGTTTCATGGAGTGTGGACATATTAGAGGCAGATTTACTCAGGAGTATGGTAAAGCATTTCCAAGTAACGAAAAAGAACTGAAGAGACAATGCGAGTAAGTACAAAAATTAGAATACGACATTAGTAATGCAATTATATTACTTCAGATTTCAACTATTTTGTGCAGATTATTCGAGGAAATGAGAAACTGTGTATAATTTTAGTCAAAACTGTATGACTAATATGGATAGAATAGTGGGGGATTCTATGGTTTCCGCAGCTGCACAGAAAATGAAGAATTGTTGCAACCCAGAAAAGCAATTATTCAAAGGTATGACATTTAAATAGATTTTTAAGATAAAAATTAGCGACGCAAATAAACACTTTTATATTTCTAATATAGAGTATTTAAAAGAAACCGTGTGTATAAACGATAATTATGAAACTGCTAAATTATGCTTCAAGGACAACCTGGATTCTGTAGTTTCTATGTACAAAAATACATCGAAAAATAAATTGCTCATTTATTGTTGGTAAGTTTTTTCTATCATCTAATTAATTTGTTAATTATTATACAAAACACGTTTATTCTATTTTAAAGTGGAATAAATCGATTGAGAAAATGCATCAACGATCACTATGAAGATAAATGCAACAAGAAGGCAGCTTCACTAATGGAAGATCAGCTGGAAATGATATTTTCTGAATGGACTTTCGCAATATGTGATCCTTATTTAGAAGTTATAAAAGATTGCCCACCAAAACCCATGTTAACTGATCGGGATAAATACAAACATTATTACTACATTCGTTACCTGTGGCCTTTCTCTGAGCTTAATTAATAAAATATACTCTTTTATTGACATTATATGTATATTTATTTATTATTTAAACATACGATTTCAAATAACATTATAAATAATACATTATTTCCTGCAGCTCCAGCTTACTGTTCCTCCTGATAAAATATACACATAATCCAATGTAGATTTGCAATTAGTCATGTGAGAGTAGCCAAGGGTATAAGGTAATTACTTATATCACTTACTGGCGCACGATCGTGTGATCGGCTCTCTAAACTTTTTATAGGAAGGCACTGTATCAAAATTGATCTGAACGGCGAAGTTCAGATACTCGTCAGGATTCCGTGACACCAGTTAATCAACTTTTTATACGCGGATTAACACGCGTATGCGATCTGATTCGGACACCCAATTAAGAGACATTCTTATAAAATAAAACATGAGTATAGTTTAATAAATCTCAAAGAAACGAATACAAATAACCAAATACAACGATTATACGACAAGCTATAGGCTCCGGCTTATATTTAAGCTAAGGCGCGTTCGAGAGAGAGAGCTCACAAAATTGATTCTAGACATACGACCTGTTTAATTGTCGTCTTCGTTTCTGTAGATATAGGACACCTCGCAGATAAAGTTCATATTACTTCGTATGGGAGATCAATTCGTGCACCAATATAAAAATATCACTTCTTCTAAGTGTAGACTCGGGACTTAGTCTATCGTGCTCCGTTATGGGCGTTGGCCATCAGGAGGAAACGTATGTGGAGTCTGGACACTTTCAAATCGGTCGGAGGACTCCCCGAATTCTGACTAATTTCTCCTTTTATTTCAAAATTTCGCCCAATCATCGTCCAGTAACTCTTTCGTGAGAACGGATGAGAGGGGGATGAATGAGGGGTAACCATTTCCCATCGGAGCGAGATTTTTAACCAGATATGGGAAAAACAGCGGATGTTCTCCTCGATGAAAGGAAATAACATTTGTTATGTGGGGTTTTTCCCACGTCTAAAACAATATTTTTCTCACCAAAACGAAGTATTATTTGGTGACATTATTTAAGCATATTTAATAAAAATTATTAAATGAGGCCTAGGGCCTTCCGGATCTCACAGTCAGATCCAGTCTGCATCTACGTATCCTTGAAGTGTTGTTTCTCTAGGCATGAAACATAGCTTATAATCAATCACATGTTTCGCACTTGTCCAATGCTCCTTTGTGTGTTTGTCGTTAAACTGACTAAGGCGTGTGACGGCAAATGCGATATCGTAGGCGTTAGTCTACTATGTGAGAAGTCGAATGACATTTGGTGACATCACGGTCGACTCAACTCACTATCATTAGTTGAAGTGGAACATCGACTAGTTTGCAAATCCGCTCGGTGATAGGGACAGTAACGTTTTTATAAAGTTGCCAATTCCAAGCTAAACAACTTCCGCATTTATTTAGCCAATAGAAAGGCACGATACAAAACGAAAGGAGTTATTTAGTAATATGACGGAGAAGCTGGTAACAGAGAGACAGCTCGAACTAACGATTAATTAACTTTTTGGACGAACATAAGAATATGATATCTCATTTATAGGAAAAGATAGGAAAAATTATGGGAGGATTACAATGTTTTACTGAACGCCAGTGGCATTGGTTCTCTAAAATCTCAGATAAATAGAGAAAAGAAAGATAGGCTATATTTGTTTGTTTTAAATAATAACTAAATAATATAATTGGCAGTTTTAATAACGAATTAGTACGATTTATTTATGTTAGGCATATAGGCTATTAAATTTAGTTACAGTATATTCTTGTGTGTGTGTGTGTCGTAGATCAATAAAAATATAGCTCATTAGAACATTATATTGCTAGATAAAATTAGACTAATGAGTCTCTAACGTTTGTACATTAATATACAGCATAGAATTTTAAATAATGAAATATTTAAAATTCGGAAAAACTATGTGAATCGTAATGTGCAAATAAATCTTTGGTAACCAAATTTAAAAATTAATTTCAAAAGTTATATTAAAAATATGTGTTCGTATCAAATGAAAATATAACATGTCTATCAATAGTCAATACAACCAAATGATTTAATTTATGAAATTTTTTCATAGATATGGAATGATCCCAAAGTTAATGTGAAACAAAAAGCATTGTTGAAAAAGAAATTGTCTGGAAAAACTGGTGGTTAGGTTAGCGTGGTATGTTAGGTTAGGTGGCCTTGCGAGTTGTTAGCATTATTCAATGAGAAGGTGAGAAGAGTTTAATATAACGGATAATCAGGTGACACTCGAAAAGTCAGTTTTTTTAGATATGAAATATATCTGTGAGTTTCACTATAGTTTTATTCAATTTGCTTCTATGAATGAATTATATGCTTTTAGACTTTTTGCTTATCATTCCTGTTAGAAGCCTGTAGCTGAAGAGCAAGCAGCCAGCCGTCAGTAAGCCTTTGCATAACTGCGATAAGCAAGACAATAAATGTGATGCTTATTCATTGCTGAATAAAATTTCCAAATACTGTTACATAATTAACATCATTGAAACAAAAGTTTATAAATTTAGGTGATAGATGCTATTGATAAAACACATATATTTCTATAATTGCACCATCACTTAATGATCCTGTGCACAAACAACTTTCAGTGAAGTATAAAACATTTATACTGCACTAAAAGTTATACTTGTTTAAACTTTATAAAGTACTGTACATATTTAGTTAGAAATATTTATTGAAAAAAGTATTTCTATTTAAAATTTTCATACATGATGTTAATACTATTGAATGTGTTGTATAATTCACTTTCAGTTTTAAAAAATTTATCATTTTTAATAAAAATATAGTGTGTAAGAAATAATACGAAGCAAAAATTAGAGTAAAAGCAGTAAATTCAAACAAAATTACAAAAGAACTGAATACATTTAAAACAAGAATTAAAGAAATTTAAGTGAATTCTCTTAAAAAGCAATTCCTTACAGGAAAATGTACAAAAATATCTTATTCGAAAAATTAAACGGTATGTATTTTTAAATATAATCGACTAACAAAATAAACTCGCATTAGCAACTTTTGTGGATAAACATTAATAAATGCGATAAAAGTAGTGAAAAACTGTAAATAGGCACCGGCGAGATTCGAACTCGCGATCTCCTGTTTACTAGACAGGCGCTTTAACCAACTAAGCCACGGCGCCAGGTAACAGAAAGCCATCTTTCAAATCGATTTAATTGTTACTTGTAGAAAAGAACTTTTCGCATATTTAGTTTTTAATTTATATATCTTCCTGTTTCGAATTTGTGCAAAGATTACTTCACACAGATATGTATCAATTAGTGTTGTAACGAATAGTATATTCGGCCTGAGGCCGAATACCGAATATTCGGCCAAACTATTCGGCTTGATAAACGCACGGACGAAAATTGGCGCGCAAACCGCATTATGGCAAGGACCCTGCTCTCTATTGGCCCGCTGTCACTACGCTTCGCCAATCGCGTTAATTCTTGGCAGTTGTAGCGGACAGACAAGAGTTTCATGGAAGTATGTGATAAATGATGATATCAAATGTGGATAACAATGAAATGACCTACACGTGTAAATAACGGAAAAAGAACAGAGAAGGACCGCGAAGTGAAAATGTGAAAATAAATATGAAATTGAGTTGATAACATAATCGAACAAGTCGAGGCAGCTTATTGGCGCGAAATTCGCGGCCGTCAATGCCAAACAATTGTTGTCATAGACTTCGGAAAGCTAAATGCTTGTAATGAAAGTCACTTAGCGTGCACGGGCGAAAGCCTGGGGCCGTTCGGGCTATCAAGCTGTCTCGAATCTGTGAAATCATAACTGTGACTTATATCGACGTCCTATCTGTCTCTTTTCTCCGTTATCACCAGGCTGAGTCACGTAATTGTAAAATGGGAACTCTACGACGGAAAAGTGACGAATCGAAAGTATCGTGAGCGCGTATTATGATGTATGCACAGGCATACGTGGATTAGAGCGATAGAGGAAAGAGAAAGGGAAGAGCAAAGACGAGCGCTTAAAAAGAAGAATAGGCAGGGTCAGACCCTCGGATGTGCGACGATTCTCGAACGAATAGGTGTGTACGTGTGCTGATCCTTGTAATTATAAATTGTGAATACATGTGACTAATATTATTTTTTTTTTTATTTTGTGCATGTTACAAGTTATAAATAAATATAAACAAACAACACTAACTCGATAACATTAAATCTAAATACCAAAATGATTAATTTACTGTGTTTTTGTTATTTACTACTCCTGCCTTTAGGTATTTGATATTCGGCCGAATAGTGATTAAATATTCGGTATTCGGCCGAATAGTGAAAAATAGGCCGAATAGGCCAAATACCGAATAGTAACCGAATATTCGTTACATCACTAGTATCAATATATAAACACTGCTTACGTATGTTTATAGCTACAGAAGAATAAAGACAATTTTTAGTAGTACAAAAACTAAAAATTATGTAAGGTATTTTGTTACATGTGTACCTTTACCGGTAACATTACAAACAAATCAATTTATGATAACCAACAAGCTATATTAATATATATGATGTTATCATGTACTGTACTTAGCATTTTCCAAGAAAACGAAACTGACTTCAGCAGCTTAGAATACTAAAACTGTGTGAAAGAAAATCTAAAATAAAAAGTTGTCGTTGAAATAAATGCAAACTGACAGCAGTCGGAAAGTCGATTGACATGTAGAGCACGACCAGCTTACAACCGGCAATCGGCCAAAGATTTTACATGACGAACTTTGACCTCGAATACCTTAGTCTATAGATAGAATAAGGACCAATGTAAGTGATATAAGATTAATGTCGTGAGGAAGCCGGAATTTTGTAATGTGTGATGAAATTAGTGTTCATGCGGTTGCTTTAAAATTTGATCACAAACAAAATACTTTCTGACATGCACATGCACAATGCTGCTAAAAAAGCAGATTTGCCTGTACTCTAATGATAGAAAACTGTTTTCCAATAATACTAGATTTGTCAATTCTTTGTACTAGGTATTTTCTAGGTAAAGGAAACT